CAACATACACACTATTTCGTGTACCCACTGTTAGAAATATTTTAATGTTGTAAGTAAAGTTCATGTCATTCTTTTCTATTCTGATTTGTTGGAAAGCAGCGGATTATTATTTCCGTTTTATTTTATTCTATATTTTTTTAATCATAATAATTACAAAATGTATGATTAGGTTGGATTATTAATAGAATAATTGTATTTATATAGCTCGTGATAAAGTATTTTTTAAATCATTGGGGATTTATTTTTCTGAATGAAAGAGACACTCTATATCTATTGCTGTATCCCTGGCGAAGTAAGTAAAATTTTGTGATGCTAAGATAAATGACAAAGAGAGATACGATAAAGATCTGACTGTCAAATGTCTTATCCAAATGGCAATGAGGCTAAATTCTAAATTTAAGAAATTAATTTTTAGCAAGACAATTTTATTGCTAAGACTAACTTTATTTTCGCCTACAGTCGAGAACGGCTTTTATTAAAAACCATACAAACTTTTCCTAATTTTTAGATTAAACGTTCATTAAGAATGTACTGATGCAAATTACACAACTGTTTAAATAGCGGCTCTTACATAAAATACATTTTCATCGATATTATTTCAACCACATTTTAACGTTAGGCCTTTGTATAAGTCTATTTGACAAATTGAAAGCTTCAGGCTTCATTAAGTTAATTTCTAAGTCCATTAATCCCTCATTACTGGTATTGGCCGTTTTATTATAACATTGCCTTATCGTAATTTTAATTGGTGTAATTTTAATTTATAAAGTAAACAGCGGCGTTCCGTGTCTGAACAGATAACTAGGTACAGTATAGGATTTCGTGCCAATTATTACAACTCCTTTTGAATCTTAACCATAATTTATTTATTTATTTAATAACTTTATGCACAAAATGTAAAATAGCGAACTAATGCCATAGGCATTCTCTAAGAGTCTACCGTAAGGTGGTGTAAATGTTCTCACTTTTGGTGCACTCACCTTCTGGTGCACTACACTTTGGTTGAGAATATAAAGTGCATATAAAAAGAAATAAATATTAAGAAATATTGTCTAGCACGGAAGGAGAAGAGTGGAAAAGAAAAAAAGCAGTGAAATAATATGAATATAACTACGTATATATACAAAAATACATATTTTTATACCATAATATATAAAGTATCATTTTTGTGATTGATATGCTATATTCTGGGTAAGGATAGTTCGTACCTTCACCTTCACAATTACGACTGGTTGCTATTCTGATTTCCTGGGGGAGAGCATTCCAGAGAAGTACAGATTGAGTGAGGAAGGAAGATTGAACACACGCAGAAGTGTGGGGAGGACATAACAGAAGAAGATTATTTGTGGAGCGAAGGGTTCTGTTATGATATGAACACTGGAACTAGGAGGGTGTCAAGTATGTAGGCGAGTTAGGAGAGTTGAGAATAGTATAGAGAGTCGACGAAAGGAAGAAATATGATCATATTTACGAAGATTAAAAATGAATCGAATGCAGTTATTTAGAAGTCAGTCGTATTTGTATAGTAAATTTGCATTCAGGTCGTAGTAGGACACATCGCCATAAACTATACCTAATGGGTAAAATAAGGTCTGTCCCAACATCGCTTTAAACTCGGAAGGTAAAGAGTTCTTGAGTCGGTATAACGCCTGCAGGATTCTAGTAATTTTCTGGCTGACACTAGTAACCTGAGTGTGCCAATTGAGGTTGCTATCAATAAACAGTCCCAAATCCTTCAAAGTAGATCTTGGGGAATGATTGACCCGTTAAATACTAGAGATGGTAGTTTATCTGGATCTAAGCTTCTGGTTATACGTGGACTGCCCAAGTTGATAGCCTGGCACTTTGTAGGGTTTACAGTCAAACCAAACCTATAGGACCAACCGCTAATAGTCTCCAGATCACCGTTTATCATGGCAATAGCCTCTGTTATATTATCTACAGCAGCAAGGTAGTAAATTTGTAAGTCATCGGCATAAAGATGGTAAGCATAGGTGTGGATTCTGAGTGATGAGATTCATAAAAATAGAAAATAGTAGTAGAGAAAGAATGCCGCCTTGGGGGGCATCAGAGTCAAGATCGTAGATTCGTTGACACGGATGGACTGCTGACGCCTTCGAAGATATGAAGATAACCATTCCAGTTCATCAGATGGTATCATATGATAGGAAAGAATAGACAGAAATATATCGTGACTGACAGTGTTAAAAGCATTTGAGAAATCAAACAAAGCCAACACGGTAACTTTGGACTAATGTTGTTTATGTTGTCTTGATTAAAGATAAACAAAATATTATAAAAATGCAACTTTGTGAAATTTCAGAGCTTTATAGGGTTTAAATAAATCTGAGCCTGAGGTTCTATACGCTTGTAGATTGCCGATTTATTGGATTTTTTCGTAGTATAGTAAAATCTTATATTAAGACGGATACAGACAATACGAGGCATGTGAAGTAAACCACCACCGAACGCTCCACGATCAAATCGTGCGTGTAGACATAGCCAGACACTCACTGCGCGATGCGTGTGTCGCGCACGATATACAACGCATACCTCGGCTTAGAAAATAAACATATTCGTGTCATTCGGCGCATGCTAGGATCGATCCAGTCCATTTACCACAATCAGAATGGCACCATCGCATCGCGTACCATTTATAATATATATATTTATATATATATAATATAATTCAATTATTGCAAAAAAAAAGAAAAGAAAAATGTTATTGATTCGATGGTGCGCCTCGTGTGTAGCAGATGCCTCGCCTCAATTGTAGGTAGGCTCATTGAGAGGTAAGTGCTTCGCACGCGGTGGCTTATTTTTACTCTAGCCAAATATGTATCATTTGCGAGGCGAGTGCGGCGCATGCCTCGCAATGTCTATGTCCGCCTTTAATCTAATAGATTTGACCTTATACTAATTCTTTATTTAAGTTAGTTCGGATCAACTGTCGATTTCACAACTGTCATAAAAGGTAGAGTTTCGTAGTAAAGTATTAACATCCAACTTCAACTGTAATGTGATATCGTATTGTAACCGAAAATTGAATCGGTAACCGGTTACCCTACCATAAATGCACCTACCTCATTCTTTCTCAGCACCGCCCAATCGGTCGACTGGCAGAGAATGCCTTAGGCATTAAGTCCGCCGATGCATGTACTTGTGCAAAAAGTTATAAATAATTAAATAAATAACAGCTAGTCTTAGTAATACTTGACTATTTTACTACGAAAATACCATTAATGACAGTTGCGAGATAGAGAGTTGATCGGAACTGAATTTTAACCGAACTTTTATTACAAGAATTGGCCTTCTGGCTGACTAGAAAATCCGTCAACTGCAATACTCACCAGACCTAAACATTTCCTTTTCTTCAGAATTTGTCTAACTTGATACTTTTAAAGACTTGTAACCTTCAAAGATTAAATAATTCACTCTTCAAGATTTTAAACTGTTTTGTCTGTACCAATTCATTTTTACTGAATACAAATTTATCTATAGGTTAGGTTGATTATTGATTAAACTGTTAATAATTAGCGTTTCTTTTTTAATTTTATATAATAAATCCGAGTACCAAAATGCCAGTTAACCAAGTTATGAAAAGAAAAACATAAATAGTCAAATAGAGATACGGTCTATTGTGTAAACGATTCCTTATCGTTGTCAATAATAGAGATAACTGAGATTGGTTGGCCTTAATACAATCTAAATTACCTATTATATTATAAAATATGTACGTTTTGTATATTATTGTGATATAATTGAGTAAAATTTCAACAATAGACCTATTCTCTATGTTCCCCTTATGTTTAGTGGGATCTTTGTAGAAATAAAAAACACAGTAGACCAACCAAGAAAACCCTGTGATTTCAGTGGCTTATATTTCTACGCAATAAATATAAGGTGTCATGTGTGCACGATCCGCCAGCTTTGATTAGCTAGCACCTAGCTCCTCCACATATGAACATAATTAGGAAATATTATACAAAGAAATAAAAATGATATTGCGATCATTTTCTTTAATAATAATAATATTATAATAATATTTTTTGGACATGTAACACACAACGCCATCTAGTTTCAAACTAAGCAGAGCTTGTACTATAATAATAATAATAATATAATAATAATAATATTCTACCACATACACACAATGCCATCTAGTCCCAAACTAAGCAGAGCTTGTACTATGGGTACTAGACAACTGATATAAATACATATATACTTTTTTTTTTTGTAAATACATACATATTATACATAGAAACACCCAGACCAAATCAAACATCAAATGTCCATAGAAAACACCCAAACTCCGAAACAAATATTTGAAAATACATCGATGTATAAGCGTTAAATTATGTTATTCTAGAACAATTATTGATGAAATGGGTAATAAACACTAGAATCGACTGATAAAAGGGGTGATAAAAACTTAAAAAAAATAATACAGACGAATTGATAACTTCCTCTTTTGTGTTTTTGAAGTCGGTTAAAAAGGCTCTAAACAATGGTAAAACAACACGCCGCGTGTTACTGCAGTCATACTACTGTTCTATATTACACTGTGACTGAAATCATATAAACTTAAATATATCTTGTTCGGTTTATTTATTTATGATCTCAGTTATTGTATTTACTTGGGAGTACTTCGAATTCGAGACTCACGCACATTTGACTTTGAAATAATTCTTAGTTAAAACGTTGTTATATAATGCTCAGTGTATTTTCTCTTAAGTAATCAGCAACTTTTGTGCTTAAAAACGTAAAAGAATAAGTTAATTAACTGTTGTATTTTAAGGTTTCACATATCGATGAACAGTTTGTTAATAAGAAATATATTAATGTTAAGGATAACTTTAAAGCATGAAATATATTTTTCTTTTATATACACTGTGAACCAACGAGAATAAATACTAGCATTTTTTTGAAATACCAAAACTAACATATGCAACATTGGTACCTACAACTTAAACAAAGACGAACCGAAATCAATAGTTACCATGTTAAGGATAACAGTGAAGGAAAAACCGATATTTAAGAAGAAACGTGATAATTACGCAAGAAAGTTGAAGACTAAGAAACTTGTTAACTATTTACAAAGCGAGTTACGGACTACTACAACACATGGTTTAGCTTACATCGTTAATCCTGAGATACACTGGTTCGAAAGGTAAGTTCACAGCGAAGTGAACCACGATCTGCTCCATCGGTAATGTCGTTAACCCATCCATCGCATCGTAGTAGTGTTTTTATGTCTTTTCAACATTTCGGTGGCTTCACCAATACTGTGGTTATCACATTCTTTTTTCCAATAGCTAGTTCTACCATTTTTTGTTCTGTTATAACTCACTCCTCTTTTAGGAAGCCTGCAAAGTTAGGTATAGCTTCATGAAGCCCAACTTATTGTATGTACATTGAGACATATGATTTGGATCACCAGTGGTCCAAAAAAACTTTATGTTGTGCTACATATTACTTTGTCAAAGCTTCCGTGTATTTTAAATCTTTTTAATACTATTATTGTATATTGGGTGTTAAATAATCATTCCATTCAATGCTCTCAGTCATCTGCACCAGCTTAAGCCAGTTCATCGACTTTTCATTGCTGTCGATACATACTCGTATGTGGCCTGATACCTATCCTTATATGATTCGCTTAGATTGTTCAAGTATGTTCAGGTTGTGTCATTAACTAAGATAACAAAAGTGCTAAAACATGTAACGATTCTCATGATCTTGATTGTAAACAATTATTCCTAGAGAAACAAATTTTAACAGACTAGTCGCCATCACTGTTGCTTAGTATGAACAAAACCAGTCTGATCTGAACAACACCACTATTTACAAAAGTCGTAGATATAGAATCAAAGTTTTTCACTAATTTACTCTAAATGACATATCACATATTGTTATCGTTTAAAGGTAGTTTATTAAATTACAGAGTGTTTTGGGGTTTCTGCTTCCTTAGTGCCTGTATCATCACATTTTATCTCTTGTCTTCTCAATATACAAGACTTGTAGTAAGTATCATATAGTACCTATATATTCATTTACTTAGAATAATAACGCATAGAACGATAGTTTCATATTATAAAACCGTTGAGTTTGAGGCAAAAACACAACGGACCAATGTTTGTATGATTGTAGTTTTTTTTTATTTATTAATACTAGCAACCCTTTTTTTTACATGTAAAAACCCCCTCGGGCCGTCACCCCACCGGGGTGTACGGCGGGGTGGTGTGTCAGAATCGGATCGACTAAAACTAAAAGAAGAGATCCGGGAACTGCTACTATTAAGACATCCGGACCCCTCCACCATTACCTCACACCATCTTCAGGTACATCCTCCATTTAGGCGACGTTTGGCACACGCGGACGTAGCGTCCTCGAGGTTGGCCGTTATGGCGGGTGGAGGGGAAAACCCGTCCCTTTAACCCGCAGCCATACTCAGGGCAGCCCGAGGCGGTGGTAAGTGTCTGAGTGGAAGTTGTCCTCAAGGGGCCTTTCCGCCGCGTCCTTCTGCGAGATGAAGCCTTCCCAGAAGGATGCGACCGCTGTGAAACATATCACTACCGGCCATGGAGCGTATGACGGCCGGTAGCGAGAGGTCCCCTCCGATGACTGCAATAAGGACCCGGGTACGCTCAAGCCAAATTCAATTCAATTCAATTCAAGCCGCTCAAATTCCCACCATGTGCTGAGCCGAGTCCTCACTGCAATCGCTGTGGTGACAGGCGGGACTCAATTCCCTCCTAGCGACCGAGTTCAGGTACTTCCCGAAGCAGCCGTGCCCGGAAAGGACCTGCGTTAGTCGGAAGGAAACTGCCCCATGCTGCCGCCGTGCCCACTCGACGATAACTGGCTGGAACGCCGCTACGGCGGTAAAGCCAGCTAGTGGAGCCTCCAGCCGTGACGACCAACGTACCATCGTGGCTCGGTGAGCGGCTTCGCGCCAATCGCGTATCTCTTCGGGCCGACTGCCACTATCCGCCTGGAACACAGACAGCCGCCGATAAACTTTAGCGAGCACCTCCGCCTCCAAATCCCACGGGGGAGTACCATAAACCACTATATGAGTAAGTGCTCATCGAAGAGCCACCTCCCGTCGAGGATCAAGCCCAGATAGTTCATCTGGGCCTGAACCGGTACTAGGACCGAGTGGACTACCATTGTGGCACCTAGGCGACTCCCCTGGTGGCCAGGCGCGCCGCCTCTTGAAAGTTCGCCCCCCGGGCGTAAAGTATCATTGGCGTAACAAATTACACCCAGCCAGGGGGGGAAAACAACTCGAAGGGCCCAGTCGTACCCTATGTTGCACAGGAGGGGTCCAAGAACAGACCCCTCGGTCCTCGTACACGACGGTACGCTCCTCTAAATAATCTGCCACTAGTCGCCTCAGGTACTTTGGCACCCCATGGTAGTGGAGTGCTTCCCTGATGACACCGCAAACAGCACGCCGAAATTTTGCACAAACTGTAATTTTGAATTTTCTTTTTCTTTTTTATGTTAGAGGGCGCAGACGAGCAGGCATTACCTGATGGAAAGTGACCATCGCCGCCCATGAACGTCTGCAACTCAGGAGTCACAAACGTGTTGCCGGCCTTTTAGGAAGTAGTACGCTCTTTTCTTCCAGAAATACCGCAGACGATAACCCGTTCCACAGATTGGTTGTGCGGGGCAAAAAGTGTCTCGAAAAGTGCACAGTAGTGGAGCGGCAACTATCCAGGTGATGAGGTGATGAGGATGATGATTAAAATACGAGAGCTGTTAGCACTACAACTTGATCTTGAGCCGGCCGTTCGGTTACTGAGCCAAAGTGGCTTAGTTTTACTCACAAAGTACGTTGTTTCAGAGTATCTATCGTGCTTGTTCTCGGTTTCTAGGCGTTATTATTCCAAGCTCATTTATTTATACATGATTTAAAGCGTTAGGTACACCTTACTAATACGTACATATTTAATACTTCTTACAGGCTGCGCCTATAGTGATGAGCGTGGACAAAGACTACTTCAACTGGAATGTGTCGTATCCGGCCATAATGTTATGTCCTGTTCATAAAATTGATAGCCAAATTCTTATTGACTACCGCAAGTAAACACGCATGTTCTATTAGCAAATAAAAATAGAGAGCACGAAAACATGACTATATGTAATAGATCTCAATGAAATATGTCAAGTGATCGTCATAGGAAGCAAACAGATGTTTAGTAGGTTGGACATGACGGCCATCCCACCAGTTGTTTTTAACGACATACTCATACCTCTGAGACCTGAGTCCAGTGGTTAAGAACCTAGGGCTACATATTGACACTTGACTGGAGAGCACAAGTCACCCACGTCAGCCAGCAAATCACTCGTGTCAGGAATTTTCTGCCCACTAAAACCAAGGCTACGCTTATGCTGTCCCTTATTACTCCCTTAATCGAGTATGCTGATGTGTGTTATCTTGACCTGAATGCAGACCTCCTCAATAAACTAGACAGACTTCTCAATAACTGCATTCGATTTGTTTTTAATCTTCACAAGTATGACCATGTGTCTACTGTACGTTCCCAGGTAAACTGAAATGGCTTCGGATTCGTCACAGTGGCTTCGGAGTCTGCGCGCATTTAATTTAATTTAATTTCTTAAGTTAATGGTACAATTTTTATTGTATTTCATTAGGCTACAATGGCTACTTTAATAGTGATTTTGACAGCAATATAATGGTTAAAAGTAGTTTCGACTAACGCTCTTAGTCCAAACGTACTTTTGACCAGCTTACCTTTAGACAAAATGACTTTTAACCGATTGGAATGTAAATAAAAATGTATAATATCATCTAAAACGTTTGGGAAAAACTGCATTTAACTTTAATTTCGGTCAATTTTTTATTTAATCAAATTTATTTGCAAAATAATATTTGTGGTAAATTTTTGAAAATTAACATCGACGTTATTCTCAGCCAAACTGGTAACGGATCCGAAACAACTCTCGCATCATATTACATAGCTATTTCATCCGTCTCCCTGGAATCCTTAAATGTTCTGGATTTACCACCACCCGAGATATTAAAGGTAATTATCAATATGAGATTTTTCTTATTTAATTTAATAGAAATATAAACTTAATTAGAAGAAGATTTAATTGCTTCATTTTTTTTTGCGTTCTAGCAAGTAAAGCCTGAAAACTATGCTATAATAGCGGCGGACTTATTCAATAATTTTGATATGAACACTTTGACGACCCACCTCAAATGGCCTATTACGTTGGACGCAACAATGACTGAGATGGGAATGTGTCATCTTATAAATTCCAACGTAGGGATCCTTGACGACCCAACGTAAGTTCCTCTGGTTTGTGTGATCCAATTAATCAAAGTTGATAAACACATGCACATTTAACTAAGTAATATTTATTAGATGATGATGATGATGCCCTTTAAGACGTATCCATCGACGGCGATACCCTGTCACTTTTCAACAACCCCGTTTACGCTCATGTACCTACCTACGTACCCGTACCGCGAAACCGATAACTAAATAAAAAACACGATTTATTAAATAATCGTTCACAATCTTTAAAAACACAGTTAACAGTTTTATGGTACAAATGTAATTTTGTTACATTTGTACCATACATTCAGATTCAGACTTACATTTTAAATTGTACTTGTTGGTAACTCATAACTGTGTTGGAAGCGGCGAAGCGGTATAGAAGCAGCTTTATCTGCTTTAGTCTTAAACCTCTTCAGCAACCGCGCGGTATCCGAAGCCAGCTAGTAAGATGCAACTAAGTGTCTTTACATGTAACCATTAACAAAACAGTTATGTGTGCTTTTTCCAGCAAGTGGGGTGACAATACTGTGCAATATGTAAAGAAAAACATCGAGCTCTCCGTGCACGACATCGATTATTTCGTTCAAGTTCTGAATTACGCCGATGCCTACAAGGTGAATAGTTTACTCATATTATTATACAGAAAACATAATAGTTAAGTATTGAAACCTTAATTTAAAAAGACAAGAAATAAAATCTTTTTACTAATCCCGCGTGTAGTTAATATTATACTTAGCACTTTAGGACATTATTACAGGGCTGTCTAGACCATAAACTAAGCATATCTCTTAGGCGCGAAATACACACAAACGGCGTAACGGAACGGATACGGCACGGACGCGATTGAAATTATATAGAAGAGGCGAAGAGACGTCACGATGCGTCATTATACAGGCTGATTTCGTTTGGTTCCCCGGCTATTAGTACCCGAGACGGCGTGCGGTTTTAGTCGGTTCGAGTCCGACATGCCACCGACAGGTGGTATCCGAGGGGATTTCCGCACGGAAAAAAAAAAAAAAAAGGCTGATTTCGTTGCGATAGCATGTCTTCCTCTTCAGATGACGAAGATGCGCTTGCTTTGCTGCAACTCATTAATGTGCAGAGGCACAGAAGATATTGGATCCACCCCGTGTGGAAATTATCAGAAGAGCATAGATATTTTAAAATAATGGAAAGATTACATGAATATCCTGATCGTTATCGCACAGTGTATATAATGTCACAAGAATGTTTCCATATTATATTGTCAAAAGTGAAACACGGTCTTCAGAAACAGCATACACATTGGAGAGAACCAGTCTGTGCTGAAGAAAGACTATTGATAACTATTAGATTACTAGATATTTAATCCTATTTCACTCCATAATTTATCTTGTACATTTCTATTACTGTAATCCGGCTTGCTAAAGTCGTAAAGTCGGATATTGTTCGACAACGCAGAACTGTATATTATATTCTATATCATCACGCATTTTTGTTGCTGATAAATAATAGTCGTCCCATATAGCAAGCGACGTGCTCCTTGCGTGACGCTTCAATTGTGACTGCTAGCGGCGCGACGCAGGCGTGCCTGTGCCGCGCCGCTTGAGTGTAATTCACAATACGTCTCCTTAATACATTTTGTATGCAAAAGTTTTGAAGCGGCGTCGTGCCTGCGCCGCGCCGAACTCCTCGCCGTTTGTGTGTATTTCGCGCCATACAGTGGGTTTTAAAGTACGGACAGGTAAACACAAGTGCGGCTTTATATAAATATTCTACCTACCTTCAGAAGTCGATTCCATTTGTCAAAATTATATGCCTCCTTACGTGCGAGCGTCTTCTTACCGATTCCAAACACTGTACTAACTACACGCTAGAGGGTTACGTTTCAACTGGATTCCAGATGCAGATATGGTAAAGCAACCTGAAGAATCTCTGCTCTTAAGCCAACTTTATAGAAAAAAGTCAGAAGCCCGCACTGTCACAACGGCAATCTACAGTTTTACATGTAACCATTTTTATCTTATAAATATTTAAAAAATGGATTATTTAAGTAGCTATTTTAAACAATACATTATTATTCCTTATCCAATGAAATACGTTAGATACTTTGTGCATCTAATGTAGACAGGGGCGCAACAACGGGGGTGTTCAGGGTGTCCGACACCCCCTAAAACCTGTGGACATCCCCTTCGAGGGTGTCCAAATATGTCCACATAACTGAGGATGTCCTATACCCCAAGCAGCTCCAGCCCCATAGCCCAGGGATCTTGAAGATGATGCGCACGCCGAAGATGAGGAGTCCGTTACGTGGGAATAGCTGCTTGCCTGCTTGTGTCATAAGCAGTGTTGCCGTTGAACAATAATAAAAGTCGCTAGCTGGTTTCTAAAAATCCTCTAGATTAGTAAAAAACCGTTCCTTTAAAATCCGCTAGAAGTCACTAATCGGAAAATCGTAAATAACTTCGCATTTAACCACCAATACATAGCTGCAATTAACCACTTTTATTACAATTAGCGGTATAAAATGCGGGGGCAAAGCGGCCGTCGCCGCTTCGGGTACTACGTCCATCGCGGTTGGCAGCGGCCAGCAGGATCGGAACGGGACTAAAAATATTGCATATAAAGATGTCCTGTATACTATATCATTATAATAGTATAATTAATTACTTCACCCTGACACCACATAAGTAGTATCTACATCATATCCGTGCGAAACCGGGGCGAATCGCTAGTACCCGATATACCTACGTAAGACCCTGTTAATATTTTGTCATGTTTGCTAAATTTCGAGGCATTTTTCAGCGTTTTTAACGGTTTTGAAGTCAATGTACCGTCGGTTCCGACATGCCGACCTTAATTAATAGCTACCTACCATAACAATGTAAATTTGATGATTTTAAACGTATGTTCTTAAAAAGCTTTCTCTGTAACGAAACTCATATCGTAGTTGACTTAGGTATATTTTTAGGTTTATACGACCAGTCCTGATGAAATCGTCCTCGGAGGCGCACAACCGTTAACTTTCGATACAGAAGGCTTCTTATCATTTGGAGTAAAAATCACAAGCACGAGGTCTTCAGCAGATCTCAGGTCCATACCTTTACACTTGCGGAAATGCAGGCAAGACAATTCTTAATTGTCCCATACATGTTATTATTAGATCAAAATGATATATTTTTATTAAGTTTCAATTTTCTTTACGAGTATAAAGATAATGATCTTCACTTTCAGATTTATTAACGAACCAGATAGCGATAGGTACTCGATTTATTCTTACAATCGCTGCTTATTGGAATGCAGAATTAAAATGATATTGGCTCTATGCAATTGTATTCCACACTTTTATAAACCTTTAGGTATGTTACTTTTATTATTTTGATAAGATTTTTATTTAAAGAATACCGGTGGAACTGTATACTTGGTTTCTGTATAGCGATATAGGACATGCGGTAGCAGTCGATAGCCCTTATTTTGACGATAGGTAGATGTGTGTGTGTGAACTGTGACTGCCCATGTAGCCGTAACTGTTCCTGCATGTACTACTCTCCAGCAAGGTGATTGTCCTTCACGCTTTACTGAACTACCTTACAGATGACGAAAAAGTGTGCAGTCTATCTGAACTGGAATGCCTTATTGAATACAAGAAAGAAATCATGACACTCTCGACTACGAACGAAACTAGGAGAAAGATGGACGACATCGACAATTTGCCAAAGTGTTCGCGCGATTGTGGATGTTTGGGAAATTGTGAGGCGGACGTCTACCAAAACGACTACGAAACTTTTCTACCTCAAAAGACAATGAATCGGCTCAAAGTCATGGTATCGGCATTTCCTAAAGTGCGAGTAATGAGAGAGATTATATTCAGCTTTTATGATTTATTTTGTAAGTGATTTTAAATACTCTTGCCAAATTTTAGCAGAATTCTATGAAATCTCTTACTTTTGTCCTAAATAACTTTCTGACAAAAGTACCTGTTGAAATCTTATACTACTTACGTGTTAAAATCTTACAAAGCATATTATTTTTAATGATTCTTGCAGTGGATGATAACTAGCGTTTACAAACAGTTAAAACACATTCTCTGTTTTATTTATGAAAGAGTTCACGGTTACCTGATGTTCGTGACGTGATTTCGGGGATTTAGGACTAGGTGCAGAGCGGAAAAGGCCCATTTTTAAGAATTAATGCCTCCTGTGACGTCGATATGCGTCACACTGACGAAATAACGCATACGAGGTTGGGGTTCGTTTTGGACTGGGACTTTCCAACTAAAGCTAATTCATTACAAATATGCGACTCTCGCGTGTTTGAGCGCTACTTACGCACCCCACTTCCCAATCCATCTGTGTAGGCAATTTCTCTTTTCTTTTATTGGCTTCCTCAATTGACTTGAGTTAAATCATAGTTGATAAAATGTAGGCGTCTAATATAGTCTACCTCTTCGGACATTTAAGTGTGAGTGTATTTATGTATGTACGATTCACGACTTTTTATTCTTACAATTGTCTTCACTTAATCGGTATTTTACTTTATATTCTATTGTATGTAGTTGCTCTGCACGATTTCGAAACCTTGGGAGATGTGCGTAATACCAATTATAGATACTTATGTATTTTTTGGACTTTTATTTCAGTGAGAAGTGGAGGTGTGGTAAATTTGTGTATTGGGACTTCAGTAATATCGCTAATGGAGTTAATAATGACAGCTTTAAGAATTCCAATTTATGAAATAATGCAAATCGCAAAAGGGATTTGGCGAAGATATACTAGACCACAAATTCAAAAGATGTCTCTCATCAAAAAACAGAGTTAAACGAAGTATATTTATTTGATAACTTATACACATATCACTTATTTACTAGAGAATCACATCGCTCCGTACCACCATGACCCACATCTGAAACAATATGTAATACTTGAGATAAGATTTTATTACGCACTTGGTTTAAAACAACGCAATGAATTTGTTACCGTTTTGATTTATAAATTAAAACCTTCAAGAAAAGAAATAAAGTCTTTTTTTACAGAGTTGAATTGTTTATCTCGTTTTAGTTATTGATTGAGATTAAGATGAGCTTTAAATACCGCGTCTAATCGCATAAATAGTTTTAGTTCAGAGTGACTGACCATCAATAGAAACGTAAGGAAAATAAACAAAACTATATATTATGGTATTGTATTGTACATGAAGTTTCCTGTTTGTTCAATTTTTATTATTTGTATTATTGTATTAACTTAGTTTATAACGATAAGTTAATTTTGTGGCGAATTAGGCTCCGAAAAACATTTCTGCATGACGTAAAAAAGTTCTCGCGCCGATTTAGTATTTCCAACATCAACCGACCGACCGCGTCAGGTCAGGCCTAACGATCTTATCTTGTCGGATTCTCTCGATTCCATTTTGGTGACAGATCTACTACTTTAGGAACAAATATTATTTATTAGACCATTGTAAATACACTTATTTGGTGATTGACAAAATCATATGCGTTTTATATCACTGACCAGTATAACTTAAATTATCATTTTGTACCATGACGGGTGTAAACATATGCTAAGTAGACCCCTGTAGCTTTATGTACCCGTTTTTACATTATTCTTGAGTTTATGGCACATATTATTCAAAAAATATAGCTTTATGCAGTTCTCCTACATATTATGCCATATTATTATGATAGAATGTTTTCTTTTAAAGGGTTAAAAGTTACAAGGGGTACAAGAATTTTCTTCACATATTAAAATATGGATTTGATGATTTTCCATAAGAACAATTACCTGTATTCCACTAAGGATATGCAAACACCGTTCTGTTCTCGTTATTGTCATTCAGCAATCAAGGTCTTTAACTGTAAAAATAGAAATAAATTATGATATGATATCGAAAAAATATCGGTCATTTTGGGGATATATTATGGGAGCACCCATTGAATGGTCTGACGATTTTAAAGTGCAAATGCAAACTGCGAATTCGAAAAATCGCAAAATTTTGCTTCAAAAAAAAAAAACACGGTCATGTGGTTTTTTTTTGGACTATGTGACCCTCTCACTGCTTAAGTCACATTCAAATCGTCAGATTTTTTTAAATACACACTAATGTGGCGATGTTATAGAGTACACTATAGAGTAGGGACACCTCACAAGGTAAAATTGAGTCTATTAAGATGGTCGGATATGCAATTTTCTTAATATTGTTTTTATTTTACTATTAACCTGAAAAAGCAATGTTTTCCAGCAGCCTTAACAAAAAGTCAATTATTCTCTCTTTCTATCTCCTCTTTTCATGGCTTTTGAAATAGCCATGTTAACAAAGTAAATATACATACAGGGTTAATGGGTAGGTCGACCTAAATACTTTAAGGGGTTGCAGTTGCCATCATTTCTGATAGATTTTACTATGAAATACTATATCCCAAACCTATATATATATATAAATTTAGCAATTTTAAACTTTGACGTGCTCATCTGTAAAATCGTTAAAACTACATTTATTTCAATGTAAGTAGTACAAAAAAATGTTTCAAACTTGGAATTAAAAATAAAAACAGTATAAAACTCGCTTACCTTTAACTCGCGTTACTATAGTCGAACGAGAAGGAACGTTAATTTATACTTTAATGGACCTGTATACACATTTTGTTTTTCGTTACACGCTGCTTCTATTGTTAACGAACTCATTTTTATTTTTCCTGAAATTAATTACAAGAAGCATTAATTATAAAAAGTATATGCCACCGATAACGGAAATGCCCAGATAACGCTTCGTAACAAGTAAATTACAGCAGTCACGAATAAGAAAGCTGTTCAATAGAAACCACGATGTACAAAAATCTACTTGACACTGGAATGATCACGAATTATTCAAGTCTGGATCAATCACCGCGGGCCCGCTAATATGATGGATCGATCACATCGGGCAACGGAAAGCGACCCAACAAATCTTCTGGCCCTGATGGCAAAAGTGAGATTGATATTATCACTCAGTACATCAAACGCTGAATAAGTCGTATTATGTAGATTTGTTGCGTAAGAAACTTTTAGGAACAGATCCACCAATCTAAATGGAAAAAAAAAACAATATTTGTTGAATAGTACGAAATTGAAGTTCTAGTGTGATAGCACCCAATCAATTAACTATAGAAACCCCATGCAATACCCAAAACAAATAACAAAATCGATGGTCCATGAGAAAACTTACCATTAATATCGAGGAAATCTGAAGACATTTCATATGAATAGTGAGGCATCTCAGACAAGTTTTGCAATCTTCGAAATACTTCTAGTCGAACGAGACATGTCAAAAAGTGTTTTGTTAAATAGTTCTTACCAAATATAAACCATTGGTTACCGACATTTCTGAATGAAAATTCACAACCAACCCTCTTCAGTACCGTGGGTAAATTAATAACCAATAATTTCCTTCCGTTTAACCTTTTTGAGCAGACTTTACGCTTTGCCGATAAATAAAATGGTGCAATATGACGAGTAATTTTCCTTTTGTATGTTGAAATCGTTTAGGACTGAGGCGATATATATCATGCCAGTGCTAACTCTCTATATAAACAAACGAAAGATGTACCCTAGGTTCAAAATTGTTTATCATACGCCACACTCAACTATACTATCATCACCATCATTAGATCATCATCCACGTTTCTAGCAGTTGCAACAGAGTCGGAATCTTAATAGTGGAGCAAGTAAATTTGCCTATATACTTATAATAACTGCATTATTTAGAAATAGTATTTACAACTAAATTCTATGGAATAAACTAAAGACTCACACAGCCTACTTATTTCGACCAACATGCAAAGCTTTTGTACCACCGAGGGCGAGATTCGCCCGATAAATCCGAAGATCAGCCAAATTTAGTGAGGTTAATTATCTCCATTTATTGCTATATCAGAAAACAGCTTACGATAAAAAAAAAACCTGCCACCGGCTAGCAGATTGTTATTAACGCCATGATAACTCGCTGACCCCTTGCAGGCAAGACAAACATACGCTGAGGATACCTTCGTGAACGAATCACCTGCCACAAATCGCTCACGTTTATTACTCAGCTAGCGACAGAACTAACCAAACTATACTTTGTACTAAACACTACTAATACACCTGTCGCTTGTTCATCACTCAACGTAGTATTCGCTGTCGGTAGAACAAATGCCGTATTTAGTTGGAAGAAACAGTAAGTAATGCGATTCGAAATTCAACATACTACTTTACAACAATGTATATATACGTCTCGCCGAATTTTAATTTAATTCGATATAATCATGAAACTCGTTCTGAAAAACCGTTCATCAAAGTTGTGAGCTAACAACACAGTTTAACCTATTTCAGACTTTCAGGTATATGCATGTTGGTACGAAAAGATTTTTAAAGAGAATGTCACGATTCCAGGAATTGTTAATAGTAAACGGTAAACACACAATAGTCGATATGTTCCTTAAATGACCTTTATTGAAGTTTATCATAAAGAACTACATGAAATATTCGGGTCTCTTACATTAACTTAACTAATGTACAAGTATATGTCGATAAATGAACGTCAACCGAAACAAAACTCGGAGAACACATCACCAGACACTATTTAAAACGAAGATGGAAGATTAAAGTGGTTCATTATGATTATCCATGTGGCTGAGTGCATACAAACCCCAAACAGACACGACTTGAATAATTTTCCTGAAATCACAAAAATTACAACATTTAGATGACTATCCATATTAGCAATATTTTTAACTAACTGAACAGTCGTTGTCTTACAAAACTTTAGCAACATAGTACACTGGATAAAAAAAATCGGCAGTCCTAACATTTTGTATTGAAATTCCAAACCAGTATAAAGACTAGGAGGGTGGAGGTAAAAGGTAACCAGATATTCGTCACCCAAACGTCACAGCACGAACGCCGAACAAACAACATTAGCAGGAAACTAAACTACAACTGCACTGCTATTGATGAAACTAGAACAGTGTAGAAACAAAGGTCTAGTTTTCAATTAATAATAATCATTGAAGACTAGGTTGATAAACATAATATTTTTTTAGTTCGACTCTTGTAATGGACAACGAGAAGTGTTTTTTTTTATTCCACTGATAGGAAGTAAAAGCAAAGTTATAAAGTCAATAGACAAAAGTTTGGAAAGAGTTTTAAGAATCTAGACACTGGATGAAAACCGAAGAGTGCCAAAATCATTATTTGCAACTGATCATAGGTAAAAAAATGAAGGATCGTTCCCATTCCCAGGGAACTAAGAACTGGAAACAAGACTGCAACAATATAAATTAATCCACTTACTTCTATTTACTTTAGAAGAAACGCACATCTATGGTCCTGCCATCAATGCGAGTCCTGTCAAACATTTCTGGTAAAGATTAAGGAAAGTCACTAGGTTTAATTAGTATAATTGTGTAACATGTAAATAGTCTCTTTGTAATGAGTAATTTTGCTATACAGTGTCATAGAAAGAAATGATAATCCTCGAGCACCTAGTAGTCCAGGTATCAGATGCACCAAAATTTTATTTTTATTTACATAAGATAAGTATTGAGTATTGACTATGTCAAAACATTTTATCACATTTGATTCCCAAAATTGAAGTTTTTTTTTTTTATAAAAAATACAATAGTTACACATATTATTTACTGCACTTTTATGGGTATAGTTTATGCAAATGACATAACACCAAAAAAAGCAAAAAAATACATATTTTTCTGTCCTTCGTGTATGTAAAAATACAGTAATGACCAAAAAACATATTTTGGGTACCATTTAATATTTTTTTCTGTATTTTTTGGAGCGCCTGATAGCTGTACTATTAGGTGCTCCAGGAATATTTATTATTTCTGGACTCCCTGTATACGGGACAAAAGAGACAGCTTAGTATTATATAATATGCAATTGTTAAAGGATACTAATTGCCCTCTCAGCATCCCACTCCTTATGGAACCGAACAACAGCAGTATCTGGTGCTGTCATTTCAGCAAACTTCACATCTCCACACTCACTGAACTTCTCCCGAATTAGCTGCCATGTCACAGTCGGAGGTAACTATAAGAAAATATAAAGAAATCATATGAAACAGTAGATAGTCTATAGAGAACACTTACATAAGATTTAATATTGAAATATTTTAAGGGACTAATTAAAGTATTTCACTATTACTTACTTACTGCTACAAAGTAGATTAATTAAAATATTTCAATATTAATTTATTAGAATGTTTTAATTAATCACTACTAAAAGGTTTAAAACTGACAAGAAAACCTATTAGGCATGAAGGGTCTCACTTGATAGGTGATGACTATGTGCTTTAATGTCAAACATGTTTATGACAAAGGATATGCATCAATTCCTTATTTAAGTTTTAGAGTTACAGTTTAGTTACTATACTTACATTTGTAATTATGACCATATCTGATTGTTTCTCGCGGTTGGACTGTTGTGAACTTTCTCTTCCATAACCTTGTCCAGATAGAGACACATTTCCCATTTGTCTTCCACCACCTTTAAAATAAATGTGAATACTTGTTTCTATTTTAAAATTGTTAAATTACAGATGGCAAAACCAAATTTTTAAGTGTAAATGTTTGTTGCCATATTGATTAGAGATAAAACTTCCAACAGAATTAAACAATTTGACAATAACTAGAAAACTGTTTATGCTGAAGAGAAGTATTAATAATACAAACAAACCTGACAATGGCCCAGAGCTAAGTGAATTGTTTCCCAAAACATTATTGGAGAGTGTAGATGAATTCAGCATATTTGGTCCAAGGTCTGTGTTAAGTCCTAAATTTGAAGAGTTCACATTTGCTTGAGCTGTAAGGACTGTTGCCAAGTCATTAGCTGTTAAACCCTGTTGCAGCAACTGGTTTTGAAGAGCTCCTAGACCTGTCAAACTTAATGCCTGAAAATTTAATGTGTGCTTTAGAAATTAAAAAAAAATAAGGTTTTACACTAATGATGTAAAAATGAGCAGGGTTAAATATCACTGCCTAATAACAAATAGTAAGTTAGTACCTGTAATCCAAGGCTGCCACCCAATGTTGTGTTGGTGTTTAAGGCATTAGCAGCTAGTCCAGTGCCAAGTCCATTCAACGTAACTCCAGAGGTAGGTACTGCACCCAGAACACTTGTCCCTAATGTATTACCCGTATTTCCAATGTTTAAGCTGGTGTTGGATGGTGCTTGACCTGGCATGACATTCCTTGCAACATCCCTCAGTGGTTCGCCATTGGGACCTAGCCCAAGACCAATACTCTTAAGCCCTTCAGGCAATCTTACTTCAGTTTTATCAGAGTTTCCTCTGTCCATACGGGCTGTCATTCTTCTGTCATACAACATTTGTTTATCAAACATAGATATAGCCTGCAACAGAAAAAAATAACATTTTTAGATATGTATTGTGTTGATCTATGATGTTAGAGCCTACATACAAGACAATTTCAAATAATTTTATGAAATTGATACACAATGAGTAATCTGTTACTGTATTTAGTAATGTGGGCTTAATAGACACAGGAAGAGATCACAGATTGAGTGTAATAACAATTTGTAATATCGATTATTATACTTTATTAATAAAATTATTATTTTATAGGCAATAGAGCATAAACAGTTTTGTAATTCATAAAGTAGATATAAAAAGAGAAATTTTATTACCTGTACAGCTTCTACAGGATGATCATATTCAATAACAGCAAACCCTCTGCTATTACCATCTTTGTCAACAGCCAGATCAATGTTGCGTACTTTTCCAGCCATTTTAAATACCTCTTTTATTTTATTGCGATCTGCTTTATAATCAAGCTAAAAAATATTAACCTCACTACATACCAGAACAACATATGTGTATTTTTCATAAGTCTAGGGAAAATAATGCATTTATTTCAGGCAAATTCATTATGGTTAAGGAATTGTGAATTCCCTCTGGATAAATTAGACAAATTCATATTAGAGTTTGGCTAATTCTTAGTGATTCTGACTGCCGTTGATGTTGTAAGTTCATATAATAATTATGGGTTAAATAGTTTGTTTTGTACCTGAGTGTCATTTTTTCTGTGATATCCACACTTGTTATAAATGAGAAAGTATGTCTGTCTGTTACCTCGTCATGCTTAAACTGAGGATCCGCTTTAGATGAAATTTAGTTTTAGTCCCAGGAAAGAACATAAGTTAGTCCCAGGAAAGAATAGAAAAAAAGGGTGAAATTGGTTGTATGGGGAAATAAACACTGCTGAATCGATTTAGATGAAATTTGGTATAGTCAAGTTTGGGGAAGGATAAAGGGAGGTTGAAATTTGAAAAGGGAATCAATAAGAAAGGACCATAAGTTTCATCATTTAACTTTTTGTTAAAAATAATGAATGTTTATGCATTATTGACCAATTAGTCATCATGGCGGGGAAATAAAGGGTTATAGAAGTTTGTATAGGGAATCTCTCTAGGGAATCAACCATTTTTTTTTAAATGTTTGTAACTCCTCATTACAAATAAAGAATGTTTACGCATTTTTGACTAATTAGTCATCCAAGTACTTACAAGCTCTGCATAATTACTTAGCCATGACTAGATTACACAGCCATGGGCGAGATGTCTAAAATGTTATATTTTCAGAAGTGAGTTGAAGCAAACCTATCAGAACTAACCAACTATCTTATGTTTAAAAACAAAGTAAAAATTAAACATAGATAGTCTATACTCAATTAACATGAAGTATATCTTCTGCAAGCAAGGCAATATACTATGTAACTTACATTGGCCACAAAAACTTTCTTCACCAATGGTGGTTGTACATTTATAGATTCCAGAAACTGTAAACTAAGGCCATAAGTATTGTAGTTTTCAGGCTCTCTCGGTTTATTAATTGACCAACTGCAACAAATTAAGCAAAAATATAAGGTAAAAAATAAGCAGTTAGATAAATAAATAAGAACCAAGACTTCACTCGTTGTTGTTTTACGCTATTTGTCTATTTTTATCTTAGACTAAACTATCACTTCAACTGATGAACAACTTCAACTTAAATTTATTTATGGAATCAATTTGAAGTAGTTTCCAGAATGAGGCATTAGTAACAGCATTTATGTCTCATTGAATAATTACATGATACATACTCTTTGTCATCTCTGTTATTTCGGCCCCCACTGCCACTTCCGCCTCCTCCACCACCACCAGATCGTGACGAATTCAACCTGTTCCTTTCATTACCTAAAATATTAATCAATGCAGAATTTTGATATGTTAAATTATGTTTAAAGGAAAAAAAAAAAATTAAAAGCTGTGTACCTGTTTCTTCCTTCAATACAAGTTTTCTTCCATTTAATTCATAACGGTGCATAACAAATAGTGCTTTTTTCATTGCTTCAGAGCTGGTGAATTCGACAACACCGCAACCTCTAGGTTTACCATTTTCATCATTGAAAAGTTCGACGTAAGCCACATCTCCAACCTAATAAAATTCAAAACGATTACAGTAACAATCCTTACTATCACCCACGACTAACATTTATATAATTATAAACCAACCTTTTCTTTAAACAAGTCCTTAAGCTCAGTCCACCTGAATTCATAAGGTATATTTGAGACAAACAATCTCTTGCCTTCAGGGCGATCGCGATCGTTGGAACGATCTCGAGTTGCATCAGAAAACCTGGATGGACGATCTCCACGCCTAGACCGATCGCGCTCTTTTTCTCGTTGACTGTCCATTGTATTTAGGCACCTAACATAAAATATGTTGTTTTATAAGCCGGTAAACGTTATCACGCGCTCAAATGATAGTAATATAATCACTTAACCTACTAGATATAAGCACTCTTCTCTAATAGAATAAAGCTCCTAAATAATTTAGGATGCCTGCATCAATTTGACTAAAACGCTGAAAGCAAAACACCGCTTTGGTACAACTAATTCTTACAAAATGGCGCCTTTTCTGTTGCAAGTAGGGATGTACGACCAAAGCTGGTACAAATGTCGCTACATGCTTTAAAAGTTGGTATTTTTTAAAAAATGACACAAACAATATATAAATATATTTATTAAATAATATATATAATAATATTAAAAAATAATAATAAAGCGTTTATTTTTTATGTTCTTTTAAATTAAATTTAATAATATAACTTATAATTATTATTCTCATTATTCGTTGACGTTTTTATTTTTAGATATAAATGTTTACACTTTGAAAAACAAAAATATAATAAAATCATACCCCTCATCCATAAGTTTGTTAATGGGTTTAAAATAAATTTCATTTTGAACAGTAAATATTTAGAATTATCAATGTTGTAACTATGACGTACAGCAAGAACTTTTATTTTGTTAGATACAAGAAATTTATTTTAATATGTGATCAATGTTGAAAGTTGGTATTAATGTACGTACATACCAACACAATATTTAGGTGGTAAATGGTACAAGACCCTGAAAAATTGTACGTATACCAATGAATTGGTATACGTACGGCCGTCGCCGAGAGAGCATATCATCATCATCAATATTGGCAACACTTTATCATCTTCGATGATAAAGTGTTGCCTGTATTTGGAAAAAAATTTTGCTTAGAGTATTTTAATGAGTAACCTTAGCGAAGAAAGGAACGTAGCCCAACACAGTTATGAAACACTGAAGAAACCAAAAAAAGTAATCTTTTATGATTAATATTAGGTATTAATCAATTTTAATCCATCCCTCTTTTTGTAATTACAACTACAAAAATGAAAAACATATTTCAGACACACAAATTCCCAAATGCAAGCTTTAGTTCATTCAGAATACATGTCCAAAATTTAGAATAAAAAGTTGTGAAGAGAGTACATATCTTAATAGTTACATTTGACTGTTTAGAACTTACTCAAATGTTTTTTCCTTGCATACATACATTACGTATTCTTTAAATATTACATTACTGTATTTCAACTACAATAAAACCTTTTATAACTGCCTTAACCAAGTCGTTATATTATTGCCTTTTCTATATATATAAACGTGGTTACACATTATAAAAGTTAACAAAAGTAATTTATTTCTTAAACAATTAGTAAGGTAATTTTTTCAACAGGCTATAATTTAAAGTCTGCCTAAATGCCTGTTCTACAATCACGACAGCCAATCGCAGCTTAGCTAAATTTAGACAAATAAATAGGAACTATCGGGCATCCATCTCTCTCGTTGCTTATATCGCTTCCACTTAGAGGCAGCTGTACCTTGTGTTCTCTCCATGGTTATATATCTACGGTTTTTATGGTCCATCTAATTTAAGAGGTACCGTCTGACAGTTCGGAGAGCTTGTGGAATAGGAAGTGAGTCAAAGGAGTCGATTACTACAATATCTTAATAGATATCGAAATCTTTTCATTGTATATGCAAATCGATAACAGTTATGTAAGTTCCTGTAAAGCCCGTATTAATTTTATCTTGGGTTTTACTAGTAAATCTATATAAGTAATCTAGGCAAATGAAGATCAAAAATAAATGAATAGGACGATACGATTCGTGTACAGTATGTTTATACTCATCACTTCGAAATGAAAAAAATATAAAAACCCTTTTATAGCTTAGCTATTATAGATAGCGATAGACCTTTTCTGTAGATCTTTCTTTGTCCTACAATTCATTTGCACACTATTTCGTCTTATCTTTAACCATTTAAGCAGCGCACGCGAAGAAAGGAATTTTTATATACCTATATATAACCTGTTTTTTTGCACATTTCTAAGTTTTTAGGAATAAATTATAGCCTATGTTACTTCCTGATAATGTAGCTTTCTATTAGTGAAAAAATGGTTAAAATTAGTCCCGTAGTTTTGGAGCCTATTAGATACAAATAAAAAAACAAAAAATCTTTCCTCTTTATAATATTGGTTTATAATATTGGGAATTCGAAAAGCACTGCCTTAGTGGATTCGATTCCCGGATAGAGTAAAATTTTATAGGCGATTGATAAGAAAAAATAGCCTAAGTTACTCCTTTTATAGACAGCTATCTGGTAGTAAAATATTATCAAAATCGGTCAAGCCGTTTTGAAGATTACTCGGAACCAACAGACAGACAGGTAGACAGACAGCCAGTCAGACTAAAAATAAAAATATTTAAACTGGTTTTTAGGCATCGGTATCGGTTTGACATTACAAACAGACACTTAAATTTTATTTATTTGTATAGATATATAGATATTAATGAATAATATATAGAAATAGGTATAGTTATAATATATAGTAATATATAGAAAAGGTGAATGTAATTTTGGACTTCATGAATTTGTACAAAGTCCATTTTTTTATATAACTGATCAGCGTCATTAATATACGCCATGTAACCAAAGTGCTATGTATATTAAAATTATCTTATTAATATGTTTACACTTTTAAGGAATAAAAAAAAACTAATTTCATGAATGCGAAAATGTGTCTCTCTGATTTCTGTCTGTCTGTTACCTCTTCACGCTTTAACCGCTGAACTGATTTAGAAGAAATTTATTCTCTGTTCTAGCATTTAGTTGACCCTGCTCTTAGCTGCTGCTCTCTGTTCAACTCTATTGTCATATTTGCAACGTATAAGCAAAATAGTCACAATACACCATCACAAAAAACTCCTTCCTAAAAGGCCGGCAACGCGTTTGTGACTCCTGAGTTGCAGACAGTGATAGCGATAGTCACTTTCCATCAGGTGACCAGTCTGCTCGTCTGTCCACTCTAACATAAAAAAACAATCAAGTACAGTACAGTTTCAAGGATTTAAACAACAAACCTTTGGCCAATTTACAAAGTTCATTTTATATACCATGCAGTAGAGTTTTTTTATTTAAGATCATAAAGTAGTGTAAAATGAAAATGTTGAAATGATAGATTGAAGTTAATTTAGAATAAAAAATTTAAAAAAATAACTTCCACTCAAGTTTTTTGATTCTTACCTACATAGCCACTTGTAACACGAGTAAGTCATTAGTAGGTACATGAAAAATATTGCATAGATCATTTACCTAGAAATAGTAAACTTGATATGTGAAAACAAGAAACTCAGCAAGCTACCCAGGCCACCCAGGTTGAAAAGCATTCACTAGAATTCAGAGATATCAAACAAAAAAAATATCTTCAAAAACGGAACACGCTATCGAGAATAATATCTATTGTTTCTTGTGTAATTTGGTACAACTTAAAGAAGAACTAGTGGCAAGTTTGGCAAGAATAGCCAATGACGAGCGAGTTTTGACTTCAACTGAAACTCATGGACCAATGACACGACATTATCCGAAACTCTTAAAATAGTTGCCATAAGTATTTCTCAAATTTTGTGGTAGATTATATTTTCTACCAAACAGTTGACATTTTTTACAAGGATACATCAAACAACTACTAAAGCGCTATCTGTCGGCATTTTATAACTTTTGTTTGACCATCACGGTCGGTGACATATACACGCACACATACATGTTTGTGATTGTATTGCTTCATAAATATTTTTCGCTTACGATAGCCATGCAGGAGACAACCTTCGTTAGATTTTTATTAAAATAAGTAGTTTTAAATATCAACAAATTATGGAGCAGAGTAAATCTAATTCACCTAGATTATTCTTGTGTACTGCCATAGAAAATAAGGACGAGGTTGAGGAGGTACTGTGAGAAATTTTGTAGTTTTTCAACAAAGAGTAATGTAGTCGGCCATGTACAATCTTATTTCCTAATACTGGTAGTGGTGGCGCTGCAGTGTATATGGCGCGAAATTTAATTTGTTATGAATGTTTCCAGTTCTCTTATTAGAATTTGTTATTTACAGAGATATGAGAGAGCCTATAATTATTTCCAATCATTGGTTGCCGACTGCAGTGAAAAGGAAGCTCACGACGCGCTTAACAATGCAGTATGCAAGAATCATGAAGATGTATCTCTTGGAATGTTGATGTCCATCCTGACAGAACCCCACAATGCCACCAAGTGCTATAGAGATCTTACACTCATCACAAGAGATGGTTTAACATGTGTGCTCAATAACTTGTCCAACTTGATCCTGGAAAGGTACTTGAAGTTTCATGACACCACTCGCAATCAACTTCTGTGGCTGATAAAAGAAATGATAAGAAATGCAGTCAATGGTGTGGATAGTGTTTGTTGGAATTTAATGCGCTATGCTTCTGGTGGAGATGTGACTCCCAAAAACATACAATTAGTAGAATCTCTTTTAGACATTTATATTGAAAATCGAGCATGGCTAGATAAGTTTCCTGTACTTATTTGTATGGTGGTATACACATATTTAAGGTTAATAGAAGACCACAATATACCACAGCTCATGAATTTAAGACAAAAAGAAGTAAATTTTGTTATCACTCTAGTTAGAGAGCGCTTTTCAGATGTTTTAACACTGGGCAGAGATTTAGTGAGATTACTTCAAAATGTTGCTAGAATTCCTGAATTTAATCAATTATGGCAAGTTATTTTTACAAATCCCAAATCTTTATGCCCCACATTCACTAATATACTACAATTGCTACAAACAAGAACATCCCGTAGATATCTGCAGTCACGGCTTACTCCTGATATGGAAAGGAAATTGGTCTTTCTTACATCACAAGTGAGGTTTGGCCACCATAAAAAGTATCAAGAGTGGTTCCAGAGGCAGTATCTTGCAACACCTGAGTCACAGTCACTTAGAAGTGATATGATCCGGTTCATTGTGGGTGTGATACATCCTACTAATGAACTCTTATGTTCTGATATCATTCCAAGGTGGGCTGTTATTGGGTGGTTGCTTACGACTTGTACTTCAAATGTAGCTGCATCAAATGCTAAGCTAGCCCTTTTTTATGACTGGTTGTTCTATGACCCAGAAAAAGATAATATAATGAATATTGAACCAGCTATACTCGTAATGCATCACTCAATGAGATCCCATCCAGCTGTAACTGCTACATTACTTGATTTTCTATGTCGAATCATTCCAAACTTTTATCAACCGTTTGCTGATAAGGTTAGACAAGGCATATTTAATTCACTACAACAAATTATAGAAAAGCGGGTGCTTCCTAATTTGCACCCATTGTTTGATTCTCCCAAGTTGGATCGTGAACTCAGAACAACTGTGCAAGAAACCTTCAAAGAGTTTTGTACAAATGGAAATGGTGAAGGTGTTTCGGGTTTGCGAGATGAAGGCAATGAGGATCTGCCTAGAGGTAATCCTGATGAACCTGCCTTCTCTGACGATGAAGAAGAAGCACCTCCAAACATTGCTGAAGACACAGATGACGATGATTTGCCACTTTCCGAAGTCCGTGCACGCGAGCGGCCCGAGTTAGCGGCAGCATTGCCTCTAGTATTACGTCCTCTAGCTGAAACTTTATTAGACGAACGTTCTTTAGCCGCTGCTACTGCTCTTATTAACGCTTGCAGTGCTCCTATGCCAACTGCTGCAGCTCTTGCTGACCTATTTGCAGCTGCTGTGCAAGAAGTTCCAACTCTACGAGTTAATCGTAATCCATCTGAAGCAGAACTCGACGCATCTCTGAATTCACCACTGTTTGCCATGTTTTCATATATTACTGGGGCCTCAGGTACTGGACATGATACAGAAGTAAAGCGAAAACTTATGATGGAAACGTTAAAGGAAATCCATAATCAAAATACTCTTCATAATGTAGGATTTTGTTTACTGTTTTATCTTAAAGTTTCATATGAGCGAGAACGGCGTAGCGAACGCGATCTTGCCAAAAGAAGAAATGTTAAGTTTAAAGCAGAGGTATATAAAGAATATTGTAGTTACTTAGAGTTGAAGTTGGCTGATAGCTTAGCATTTGATTTTGAAAGATGTCAGGAGTGTGATGCAAATGTGTTGGTATGGTTGATACCAGATATTTACAGAGAGTTTAAAGATCAAGCACAAAACCACATTAGGTTGCTCCATGCTATAGTAATGGCATTGGATGCAGGACAGCTACAGAGACTTGTGTGTTTAACTCTACAAGGCACTCTAATGATGTTTAAGTCTGACGATATCACAACAATGCTGCAAACTAGTTTGGGGTGGGAAACATTCGAACAGTATTGCCTTTGGCAACTCCTAACTGCCCATGATATATCAGTAGAAGATGTCTTACCCATCATACCTAAACTATCTTATAAAGACCACTCTGAAGCACTTACATCAGTTCTCTTGATGTTAAAGCAAGAAAAACCAACAGCGGATGTTGTACGACAATTATTCTGTCGACCGGTAGACGAAGAAGACACTTTTGTAGTGTCTACGTTAATGTATTGGTGCCAAGATTACGAAGATAAAGTTGGCGACTTACTTTCAGTACTATTAAGCACGAGATACCCAGGCACAAGCCCCAATAAACGAAAACGTCCTGGGAAACATAGCATTCCACCAAATGCTCCGCCTTCTGCTGAACTGGTAAATATAAGTAATGTATCAAATAAGTTGCCACTTTTATCAATGAAACGGAAATTTTAAATGTATTTTATTTCTTTTGTTATTCATAGGTGCTTGGGCATTTGGAACAAATGAGAGTATGCTGTGTAGAACAAAACGACATGTCTATGTTTAAAATGGAGTGTATGCAAAAAGCGCTTCAACAAGCACAGTCAAATAGTAGTGATAGTTTAAGGGTAAGATATTTGCAAGCTGATATTCCCATAGTATATTATCATATTTTCAATTGACAAATTAGCTTACATAGCTTGCTGGTACTAATAGTATAAACTTACGATTATTAATGATATATACTTATAAACTAAGAATATATACTACATGATGCAGTTTTGAAATAATCATTGTGTCTCCTGTAGACACAACAAAACACTCTTAAGTCGTTTCAGTGTTAAAAACTATGTTTAATTGATTTAGTTAACAAATAATGCATCCTATATTATAAATTTTATCATTCTTAACAATACATAAACATGCACAGAATTGAGAATAAGAAGTGCGCATGGTGACACGCGCACCGGTGTTACAACTTGCAAACAATTTCGTACTTCTGTGCCAATCTATATACTTTGGCTCGAAATGTAGAGTAGGTACTATGTATATTGGAACTATGAGTATGCAATAAATTATATCGCTCATAGGTATATTGCTACACATTTTCACAAGTGTTTCGTAAATGTCAAGATGCAATAGTTCAAACATGCATGCATCATTCATGGAAACCAAACTCTATTTTAAAATTATTTATAAAGGGTGTATTTAAATATAAATGGCGTTCAGGATTCTCATTTAAGAATTCCCGGTGATTCTCATCTAGTCTGCAACTGACGTCCACATTTTCAAACAGAATATAGTTGAAAGCCGAATGACTGGAAATTTAATGTTTACGTTTGGTCAACCTAAATATTCAATCCATTTACGATATACATAATATACCTATGTAAATTATCATGTCTAAGTGCCGATCTACATATGTAATAAAACGACTGTAACATATATTTTCGCAAATATTATGTCATGAAGACTAAAAATCTTGAATACATTTACACATTGTGCATCTAGAGTATATTACTGGTACAGCAATGCCCAAGATTAAGCTTTAAATTAATTTAATTACTGCATACTGCTTGTGCGATTAAAATTTAAAGATGCGCATTAACTAATTTATAAAAATAATATTGTTTTATGTCTTTTACATTACAGAGACAATATAGTGAATTACTTGCTCTGGCGTGGGAGGAGGAGTTGCCGACATCAAGACGAGCCAGAAAATTAGTGTCGAATTCATTACCGCTTAACCAGAATCTGCATTCATCAAACGAAGATAGTGAGGTAAATCAACATTATCGAATTTGAGATATAAGAAACAGCTACAATCACTAGAATAATTATCTAAAAAATGAAAAAAAGTCTAATCATCTGTCTGTAACGCGTTTTTCTATATAATATCGATGCAATTTATTATTATTAGGCCAGGTTTTCATAAACATAATATATTTTTACTATCCCGATTCGCTTACAGTATTTTTGTCAAAATAAATACTGTGTAAATTATAAGTAGGTATATCAATATTCGTAGTATTTGGAGATCTGAAAAAATTCACGGGAGTAGCATATATAACGAATTTAAAAGGAAAACTATCACAGCTAAGTAGGTAGCTTTATTAGTTTACGAATTATTTGATGTAATAGGCCACCGAAACTGTTATTGTGAAATGTTTATAATATGATTTAACTACGAACCCTACATTAAGTTAATTTTCTTTCTCATACCTATCTGCATTTTTTGTACCTAGTGAGTGCAGTAACGATAAAGTTATAAATTGAGGATTTCATAAGGGTTGTGGCCTCTATTTAACGTCTTTTTTATTCCAAACAAATTCAGGTAACTCAGTTTACTGTGTCTAAAATAAACCGTTTTTTTCATTTTCAGGAAGAAGAGATAGTAAAGCCGAAACAGGCTAAACGAAGAAAGAAGGCAATCTCCGATAGCGATTGACATATCTTTTGTAGAATGAACGGTAATTTTAAACACCAAAGTGCAACTACAATACAATAAATATTAGTAGTATGTGTAAAACATTGTTTGTTACCTTATGTTATACACAGGTGCCGTTCCAAGAATAGTACCTTATCTCTATCGCATAATTTTGCCTTTGGGTATGTAGTCTATGAAAAGTTTATCCATGGTTTGTTTGATATTATTTTTTCGGTGGTTTTTAGTTTCGATTTTTAAATTACGTTATTTAATTTCTTAAAGGCCATGGTACTAATGTCAAATGCAATAGAACAACCTCTATATTACTGTTATTGGTGGACTGGCACCAAAAGTTGTATTAATATCTTCCATTTTCGGATGTACGAGTACGTTATAAGGATGTATATTGTATGTCAAACATGTGCTGTAAATTTGGACAACTTAGTCATTTATTGTAAATGTAGGTACCCTATTGTTGTACAGATTTTTTTTATTCCCGTACATGTTGAACTTATTTTAAGTATAAGGTATGAGACCAAGAATTTTATTCAAAGGATATAATATTGTATTCTGGAATTTTCGAAATACATTTTACACTAGGATCAATAAAGTATTTCTCCCTTATTTTATGTTTTAATTGACCTTTTTGTGTTAGTAATTAAAAACGAACTACATATATTATTATGTATTTTGGTTATGTATTTTTTCCAAACATTCAGAATATAGAAATAGTGATTGTAAACAAATGTTTATATATTTCAGTATTTAACATAAATTCAAATAATATGTTCTAAGTACAAAACATACTAACATAACTATAAACATAGGTACTAAACATGGATTAAAGTTTCAGTAAATTTTAAATATTTTATTAAAACCTTTATTATTTTGGTTTTTAACAATTCAGAAAAAATATCATTTAAAAATGTCTTTTATGCTTAGTCTTTGTCACACTGCTATCTATCATATTTTTGTACAGTAGCAGAACCTTTAACAATACAACACCCCTCACCAAGCAATTAATACACGCTTATTAGCTAAAAAAATTTATAAAAAAGTGAACCATCAAATAAATTCTTAACACTAAATTTTTCCTTGCTTATATCTTTGTCTCGCCTGTGCCTTACTGTACTTTGTTTTCTTCTCAGCCGCTGATGCATCTTTCTCTTTACTGCTGTTATTCGTACCTGAAATAACGAATTAGCATTAGTAACAACCAATCGCTAACATACCTAAAAAAAAAATTGGAGTGTCGTAATTATTTTAATTTATTTAAAGTAAAAAGAAGAATAGAAATTTAAAAAAAAAAAATTACATACATAAATTGGATTTTTGCAATATTAAATTACAATTTTCTTAAGTTTAAAAGCATTTTAGAATTGGGACACAGAGTGTAGCTATGTCCTCGAGGTGAGAAGAGTGACTTGGACGTCCAAGAACTGAACACTAATAGTGGCAGTAACGCTTATCACGGCGCTCAGAAGATCGGTCGATCACAATACGATATATATTCACATTACAGTCAACGTTGATTGTTTATTAAGAGAATATATTTTATGACATTAGTGAAATCGAGATAAAATTTGTGAGATTGAAAGCGTGGTTTTAAATTAAGAGATGCATTTAGATAGCTCTTATCAACGTTAATATTAGGTCCTTACATATGAAATTGAAAGAATATAAAGTCATTTTTTTTTATTAAATAATTTAATATAATTAATTAATTTATATATTTAAATAATCAAAGTATGCACCGTTGTTATCTATGCACTTTTGCCATCTCATAGGTAGTTCATTGATTCCTTTACTAAAAAAACCATGGGGGCGAGAATCAATAAGCTCTTTGAAGGCGGTTTGGACTGCCGCATAGGAGTTGAATTTTTTTCTTTGCAAGAAGTTGTCCAAATTCCGGAAAAAATGGTAATCTGTTGGAGCAAGGTCCGGGGAGTACGGTGGATGTCGCAGACATTCCAATTGTAGCTCATCTAACTTAGTGGTTGTTTGTTGTGCAGTGTGTGGTCTTGCGTTGTCGTGAAGCAGCAGTGACCTAGAGCGATTGGTCAATCTCGGTTGTTTAGCAGCTGGTTCTTCCTTCATGGTTTGCAGTTGCTAACAATAGATATTTGCCGTAATCATTTGGCCAGATTTTAGAAAACTGTAGTGAACGACACCGGCGCTATAACCCGGCAATCTCGTGCGCGACCGTCCCGCGGGATGACAGACAGTGGCGGGGGCGAGGTAGCGCGTCATTCTAGCACACGGCTACACACGAAGAGAAGTGTTTCCCTTCCCCGCTACACCACCCGCTACCCGCTGACATCTTGAGTACCTCGTCCCCGCCACCGTCTATCACCCCGCAGGACGGCCGCGCACGACGTTGATGGACTATAGTCCACCAAACACTCAAAAGTAACTTTTTCTGAGTCAATTTTCGCTTAGGGCAGGATTTGGGTGGGTCTCCAGTGTTCAGCCATTGCGACGAGCGCTTCCGATTATCGTACAGTATCCACTTTTCATCACAAGTAATGATTCGATTTAAAATCCCTTCATTATTGTGTCAGTTGAGCAAAGTAACACAGCAGTCGACGCGTGTTTGCAAGTTCGATTCACTCAATTCATGAGGTCAATCATCATCAAGTTTTTTTTACTTTCCCGATTTGCTTCAAGGGGATTAATACAGTTTTATCACTTACCCCGAAGCCTGCAGCTATCTCTGAAGTGCTTTGTGATGGATCCGCTTCCACAATAGCCTTTATTTCTTCATTTTCCACTTTGGTCTCCGGCCGTCCGGGGTTGGTTCTGAAGGTCGAAATTTCTAGAACGAAAACGTTGAAACCAAAAACGTACCGTGCTTTCTTTTGCGACACCAGCGCCGTACACATCATTAATCCTTCGAGCTGTTTCTGCAACACTGGTGCCAAGGTAGATCTCGTACTCTTAAATATACCGATATTTCATGTTTTCCATTGTGAGGTAATAACAATTTGTGGACCACAAAGTGGTGTCCCATGCTGGAATCGAACCCACAACACCTAGCGCAGCAGGAGGCGGCGTGGCGACCGCTTAAACCAGTATGCTATCCGTGTAGTCAAATATATTAGAAGTAATACACTATGGGATTAGTAGTAGACGCCAGAGAAAAAAATAATGAGGAAAAACAAATAAATGACTGTTTTCAAAACTCAAATGTATCAGCTAAATGAATTTATAAATTTCAATTTGGAACTCTTAACCAAAGAGGAGATATTTCAGATCAAAGTGGTCAAACGACAAAACGCTAATTTCATATGTAAGGACCTAATAAATGGCAGCTTCCAGTGCACGCGGTGCAAGAGGGAACACAATCGGAACCGGTCGGCTACGTGAGCGCGAAATAGCAGGCGGAAGGTATGGCAGCCGATCGGCTCTTCTCATAGTTTAACATTGAGCAAGTTATATTAAAATACGTCAATTAATATAAAAGACAACCTTATTTGAATGACCCAAAACTCTTAAACGCGATAAAAATTTACTGTCCTCGCCGACTTGGTCTGTGTGAACGGAGCCTAAGGACAGAAAAGCTCAGATAAGAGTTTAGCCGCCGCAGCGTTTGTTCTTGGTGTTCGAATCGTTTAATAAAAATACCATACCATTACCATACCATAATTCGGCCTAATTTATACCCACCTAAATATATAAATACATCTCTGAATATCGTGAAAGGCTTTGCCTGAGTGATGCAACAAAGCTAATATATGTTTTACATGAAAACACTTACAGAAAGATACAATGGTGCACCATACCTATTTGTTTTACTGTCGTAGTATGGAAAGTCATTACAATAACAGTTCAACTTATACTGAAAATTAGTAACTCAATTTGTTACAAATGGGTTAAAAATTTAGTAAATTATAATCGACATTTGAGATTAAATAAATAAAATTAAAAATACCTAAGTCATCTGGTGGTTGCAATGATTTCCCTGCACTCCAGGAACCCATCAATGTCACGGTCTTACCTACTGCCCAACCGAGTCCTGCCAGCGCGAACGAAAATGATGTCATGCTGAATGGGTTCTGAAAAATTAAAATATATTTCTGTAAACAAAACATTCAGCAAGAATAACTTTCAGAAAGAAGTTCATCAAAGTAACTTTGAAGATAAACCAATACTCAAACACTATTCAGTTTTCAGAAGTCTCGTTTCCTTACTAGAATTGACGCTTACTGACATCTAACAGCGTAATACCAAGTAGGAACTGAATATAATTAGTATTAAGGAATCGGAACTAAAATCCGCTAGATTCAGTCATGTCGCAGGGTTCCGGGGGACCCCACAAACATACATGAAACGCACAAAAGAACACCCAGACTCAGAACAACAATTTGTGGACCACAAAGTGGTGTCCCATGCTGGAATCGAACCCACAACACCTAGCGCAGCAGGAGGCGGCGTGGCGACCGCTTAAACCAGTATGCTATCCGTGTAGTCAAATATATTAGAAGTATGATATAGATACACTATGGGATAAGTAGATATCCTGGCCTGAATTGCTAGATGAAGCAAAAGAAATTTGATTCAAACATTCGAGAATCCTTAGATAGTATGAAATCTGAGGGCCAATGCCCGGCCCGGCCTGCTTCTGCTAGGGTGGCATACGGTTTCACCTGTCACCGTCCCAGGCCTGCGCTTATGAGAGACGGAGGTCGTTCTGTGACCTCCGGCGCCTGAGTCGCCCGAGTCGCCCACACAGGTGAATAAAGCTGAATTGGAGGATTTATATAATATAGTGATAAAATTTTCTTTCCAGTAGGCTGTGCAAAGTGCTCTCACACAGTTTCTCGAATCTAGATCCCCAGAATTCTATCGCAAAGGCATAAATGAACTTCCGTTTAGATGGCAGCAATGTATAGATAATGAGGGTAAATATTTTGATTAATTAAATATGTTTACATCTTAGAAAACAAATGTTTCAATTTTTCAGTACAAATCGGCAATTTCATACTTTAACCTCTAATATTAAATACCTAGTATTTTTGATGTTATTTGAGCTGAGATGCATTGTGTCTCAAATACATACAAACTCACTTTCCAAAGTGTGTGTTTAATTTTTGCCCGCTAATCCTCTAAATTACTTGATAACAGTTGCTCAATAAAATCGGTTTTGGCCAAAAGATCTGAAAACTAGAATTTTTAAGCTTCAAGATGCTTTCCTTACGAGCTTGATACAACCATTTCCCACAGAAATATGGTCCCTCAAAAATCACTGAAAAATTCTAATTTTCTTTGATTTTTTGCAGAAGTGTATCATGTTACAAACTTGCCAATATTATTATTTTTAGTTATGGCTCCTTAATTATGCTATCAAGTTAATTGTGCAAATTAAAGTCTAAAACGTTTAATTTGACTGTTATCTCTCTTACTCAAACATTCTAGTTAACCTTCAATGACTTCATATCAGTGATAACAAGTAAGGCTATTTTTGAATTTAGAGTAAGCATACAAACCTCTAAGGTAGGATTTGTAGTTAAAGTGTAATCTAGTACAACAACAGCAATTCCTAGAGCTAGCCCCAAACAGGTACAGATCCAAATGATGTTTTGGTTATCTGGAAATTGGGAAAAAATAATTAGAATTGAACAATTCAATGATGTAATTTTATTTTTTATGGTATATGGGGTCATACGAGCAGACAGGTCATGATCGTAAATAACAACTGCTGCCCGTGAACACTTGTAACTCAACAATTCATCAAATTTGTGGCAATAAATCAAGTCCCCTAAGAAGCAGGGAACAGGAAACTCAGTGAAAAGCTACAAAAAATATTTTTATAATTGATTTCCTGTGATGCCATGGCAGCAGACTCAAACTCTTTATTTCATTAAAAAAAAAAAACGTACTTTATGTAGACTCTAAAGTCATAGATCAACACACACAAAAGCAACAATCTCTGTTTTGTCAAATAGTAAGCAAATAAATTTAACAAAAATCAAACCCATACAAAATCTATGATATGCGTGTGCCGATCTACAACCACCCGTTTCCAAGGGGTTGAGCCTATTAAATATACCACAACATTGTTTTGATGTGCTCCAGTATGTCCGTTATTAAGGACTAAAATGTAAAAAGACAATGAAAGCACTTTGGTCAAGCCAGGCCATTTGCGCCAAAGCATAGCTCTCCCATAACAAATTATGTCTTTTACAGTAAGTAATTAATTATAATGTTATCCAAAAAACTTGCAAACAATAACAAGGAACTGAAAGACACCTCTGATTTTCTTCTTTTGTGTATCTGTGATGCTTTTAATAGACTCCATTACTTTGACATTATGTGGGTCAAGCTGCAGGGCTCTTGTGTAAGATATTAAAGCTTCATCAAATAGCTCACTAGCTGCTTCTACCTCTGCACGACGAAAATAACCCTGTAAATATAAATACACAGACTTTAAATTATACACAAGCCTATTCCCAATTTCTGACTTTATAAATGAAATTATAACTTTGATAGTACCTTTGCCCATTGAGGTTGTATCCTGACAGTCTCATTAGCATCTTGCAGTGCTAGATAGTGTTGATCTAATTTTAAAAATGCAAATGATCTGTTGCTGTATAAAAGATAATTATTAGGGTCCATTTTGATAGCTTGTGTGTAATGCAAAACAGCCTCAATGAATTTTCCATCTTTAACGCATTCATTGCCTTTGGTTCTTAGATCTTCGACTGTCGCTGACTGACTTTTCTTGGTTTCTTCCATGTTGATATAGTAATATGTATCAAGAACAGATTTACTAAGAAAATAGGTTATACATGAAAATGCGAACAATCCTGAATTATCACTACAAAATATACTAAAGTCAATATTTGCACGGCTTCGACGCTTAAGACTACTTCGACCACCACATTTCAATGGCACAATCAAAGAATACTAATATACAATACACAATAATGACTAAGAATGATTGAATGCAATAACTTAACTTGAAACAAGGATGACATCTTACTGACATTGTCTGACATGAGTGACATTTCTCCCATAGTGTTGTTGCTACACCGACAGTGCGAAAGTGTGAAGTAATTCTAACAAGACCCTATAGATAGGTCAATTCTCGAAATATTTAAACAAAAAATCTGTTTTGATGTCTCACAAACTTCATAAAAGGTATTCTCATAGTAAATATTACTAAGACTAGCTGAATACTGCTTCAACCTTCGGTCACACACAATACGATATACACATTCGGAAAATCGATCTTTTCTATCTTAAGGTAGGTCGATTCTTTCAAAATTCTGTTTTGATCTACTCTAGACCTTTATACGGAATATAGGAACGTATAATAATGTATTCAGACCATGATTCTGAGTCGAAAATCATTATAATTTTCTGCCGGAAAATTCATCAATTTTCTTTTAATAATTTTCAATTATTTGCCTAAAAATGATGTTAAATGATATCACATTGAGTAAAGAGAACATTTTACAGAAAACAATTTGATAAGTACCGCATACGGTCTAAAACTGCAATGTAATTAATTAAACAGCCGAAGCGCGGGGGGCCTCCCCTTCGGCCGCCAACTTGTGTTAGTGTGCGTTGTATGGAATACACATGTAGTCATTACTTTTGTGCACCTATGTCAGCTGATTGTATAAAAAGTTAAATTGGAAAATTCCAATGATTTACGACTGAGAATCATGGTCTGAATACATTATTTCAGTATTCATTACGGCGTCCCTTACACCATGTATAGATAGGTCAATTCTCGTAATAAAAATTATTGTCATTTAAAGATCTATAGTAGAACAAAACAGAGTTTTGAAAGAATTTTTATTACGAGAATCGACCTACCTATAAATAAAAAAGATAGGCTACCCGAATGTTTAATTCATATAGTAATAGTACAAATTCAAATAAAATTGCTAATGTCGGTGTGTCATATTTAAAACCTTTCACTAATTAATACACTAAATAATAACTTCAAAACTATTAATTTACCTAGTCATTTTTACCTACGTAGAAGACATATTTTTACGATTATTTCAAGTTTTTCAAATCGTAAACTATAAAAATTTAGATAAAAATGATTAAATTAACATCCAAGAGATATCCTTTTGTATTTCTATCAGTTCAGTGCCTGCATAGATTTTTTTTGTATTGAAATTAAATTGATTAAAACTCGATTCCAAATTGACCAGGATGTATGAACAATGTCTTTGCCGGAGGAATTGCAACACTGCAAAAAAAAAAAACAAATTTATAAAATGGCTGATTTCTAAGTGACGTATGTGTTGTATGTTTATGAATTTCGTTTATTATCTTAATACAGTGATATAAATAATGAAGTGAAGATTATTTTTATCAGTTTATCGTCTTATCTGATCGTCGTCATTTTGGTGAGTTATATTATGTTTTCTTTATATTCCTGTGTTGATGTTTGTCACGATGTTGGTAGTTGGCTATGATTGTAGGCGGGATGGAACGTCCTCTTTTCGATGGTTATTGCATTTATGTAAACTTTATTAGAACAGCTTTTTCATACATATTATTCAATAAAAACATGTTGAGCCGTACAACACTGCAATGCGTCTAAGTAAGGACGATTTGACTTCATGGATTTTACCAGCCTTTGCCCAATATGCCTAATTAAAACAAGGTACGTCCCACGACCATACGAATATTACGAATGAGCCTGTGTGGTATAACAGGTGTAGCTAGTGAAAACAAATTATTTTTTCATGGTTTGTGAAAAATATTATGAATAACATTTATCAACTCATGCCCCTAGAAGTTGAAAATGAAAGTGAGATTTTGTTATTAGTGTCATTAATAACAGATAATTCGTAATAAGCATTGAAAACAATTTATACAGACAACATATTATGTAATAATATGTGTTAAAGATTCACACCATATGTTAAAAAGTCTTAATTCTCATTTGTTCTACCATTATTGTTTTTGTGGCTGCAGTTTTCTATAAAGGGTGAATACAAACTGTTGTATTGTGCACTATCTACTAAGTACAGTGATATATTTTAAATTGTTTGCTGCTGGAATTATATGTTTAAACTATACAAAATATTTCAAATAAGATTACAAACTTTTAATTAAATGATCCAATAAATTAAAATAGTGTTGAATTTAATGAAATCGCATTTTCATTTAATATAAATTTTAGTTTTTTGAAGCCTATTTAATAAATGCATTGTCATCACAGTTGAATCAAAAATTATTATAATAGCCCTTTATGAAATACAAAAATATCTTTAATCATCATTGGTACTTTTAAGCGAGCAAAGCCATGGCAAAAGTTACTGTTACTGTCCCACATGGGGAGACACTTTGTGTGATCCACAAATTGGTGTTCTGAGTCTGGGTGTTCTTTGTGTCCGTTTCATGTATGTTTGTAAAGTCCCCTGCGACACAGGATGTATACCTAATGCAGGTTGTTTAAAAAATAATAAAAAATATTATTAACAACCAGCTGGACCCCATCACGCTTTGCTGTGCAACATTTTGTATGCATTGATGACAAACAAATATTATGCAAAAAATAGATAAATCAATCTTCAAAACAGGTTGTGCGGCATGTCAAAATTTGAGATTAATTGGTGTAGAACTTTTGAGTTTTTGGAGCATAGACATACCAACTTAACATTTTTGTATATAGATAATGAAATGTGATTGCTGTAAAAATAGCTAAAAATAGTCATTTCATAAATATAATTCATGTTTATGTCTCTGAAAACCCTTATTATTATTCTCTTTATTTTTTTTATATATATATAGGTATTAGCTATATTTTTAAACTTACACTAAAAAAAAAATAAAAAATACATATTTAAAATATAAAAAATTGTAGAATACCGACATCGGCTGCAGGGACCAAGACTGGGGGTTAGGGGTTAGGGGTTAGGACTCCAAAGATAGGAACCTCCTCACTATACGCGTAGTGTCAAGGAGGACTGCCTTCTGCATCAGAGTCTTGATCCAGCTGTCTAATGTGAGCCTTTTAAGGTGTTGGTGGAGGCTCATGCCTATTAGTCCGTGAGCGGATACGACTATCGGAACAATGATCACTGAATCGACATTCGACAATTTCGTGTGATAAATTCAAATATTTTATTTGTTTTACTTTTCTACTTTCACGATTTTCTCGTCATAAGCAACGGCGATATTAACAATCATTGCGCGGCGCTCTAATCGATCTATTACTACAACATCAGGCTTATTGGCAACAATAGTCCTGTCTGTGATAATAGATCGATTCCGATACAACGTGGCCCGACCATTCTCGAGAACTGGGTCAGGCACATACCTGTAGTATGGCACCTCTAGATTTACAAGTTGTAGTTAAGGTTAAGCTGTTGGTCTACGATCCTGGCTACTGTGTTGTGCCTGTGCAAATATTCACCGTTAGTGAGACGAGAACAGTGAGACGAGAACAACCAGAAATAATATGCCTGATTGATTCCCCAGGTATCCCCATTCTCGCTATTGTGTAGGGTCTTGATATCTAGTAGTCCGCGACCCCCAAGCTTTCGCGGGATATAAAATCTCATAACCGATGAACGTGGGTGGTGCATTCGGAATGCAGTCAGCATAGTACGGAATGTCTAATTCGGTCTGAGTCCATCAAAGTATACCAAAGGAATTCATCAGAACTGGCATGATCCAACCATTGCAGGTGTTGTTGCCCCCTGATAAAAGACTTAAGTATTTTTATCAGGCGGCCAAAAAAGCGTTCTTGCAACGTTTGTTTCATGTCAAATTCTGGTATTCCCAACGACTGTGATATACCCAGATACTTGTAAGTTTCAGTGGCAGACAGAGATCTTAGTTTTGTTGAATCTGAAAGCTCTGTTCCTTCAGACTTCTACTACCACACCCTTCTTCACATACATGACTGCACACTTTTCTACACCAAATTCCATTTTGATAGAATTACTAAAGTTTACCGTCACCTTTAGTAACGCTGTCAATTGTAATTTAGTGGGGGCTAGTAATTTTAAATCATCTATATAAAGAAGGTGAGATATAACTTGATCATCTCTATGCAACCTATAGCCTAACCCTGAACCCTCTAAAAGGGTGCTAAGAGGGTTCAAAGCCAGACAAAACCACAAGGGACTCAGACTATCACCTTGAAATATACTCCGCTCGATTTTTATTAGTACATCGTTTACCGAAGTGCTCTCCGTTGCCCCATACATGACTTAAAGAAAGTGCAAAGAGTTGTATTAATTCATCATCATCATCATCATCAACAGCCTTTAATAGTCCACTGCTGGACATAAGCCTCTCCTTAGAAAGGAGGTTTTGGCCTACTATACCACGCTGGCCAGACGGGTTGGTATAGGGTTTGTGTCCGGTCAATGGCACTGTACGGTGCACCGGTGTGGGCGGCGGCTCTGACCGCCCAGAATAGGGTACGCCTCTGGCGCCCTCAGAGGGTAATGGCGGTCAGAGCCATACGCGGTTACCGCACCGTTTCGACGGAGGTGGCATGCGCGTTGGCCGGAACTCCCCCGTGGGATTTGGAGGCGGAGGTGCTCGCCGAATTTTATCGGCGAGTGGCTGACTCCCGGGCGGAGAGCGGATTTCGCCCTCCGGATGGATGTGCGCGAGTGGCGCGAAGCCGCTCGCCGAGCCACGATGGCTCGTTGGTCGTTCCGGCTGGAGACTCCACGCGCTGGCTTCGCCGCCGAGTGGGCAGGGCGGCAGCACGGGACCCTTTCCTTCCGGCTGACGCAGGTGCTTTC